GCGCGGGTAGCGGAGGGCGGAGAGGGGGCGGCGTCGCACCTGTGCCTCCCCCCTGACACGATGGCAACCTCCGACTCCTCCTCGTCTCCGCCGCGCCGCGCCAGCAGCCGCTCGTGCCCCGGTGGAGCCCACGGTGGCGCCGACGCGGCGCACCCGGCGCAGTCGTAGCCAAAGCAGCGCGCCGCGTCCCTCAGCTCCGCCTCCGCGCGCGCCGCGCCTCCCGCCAGCTGCCTCGCCAGCCGCACCTGCGTGCAGCCATCACTGTAGTCTTGAGGGACCCCGCTCGCACTAGGGAAGAGCTGCCTGGCCGCAGCCGCACCTGCGTACAATGGATGGATGAGAGAGTTCTCCTGCCGACCACGACCCGCCGACTCGCCACCCTCGCCCTCCGCCCGAGGTAGCCCGACAGCTCGACCAGCGCGCTACGGTCCTCCGCCTGTCGAAAGTCAGTCCAAAGGAGTTCGAACTAAGAAATGAACCAATTCACCAGCGAGCACGGGGTCCTAGTTGCAGTCACTCCAACAGATGTGAGTCGCACAACGTGCTCGAGAGATGGCCAGGCACCGCCCCCGTCCTCCGGCGCCTCCGCCACTCTGGCTCGCAGGACGCGGATCTGCTCCTCGAGCTCCTCGAGCTCCTACGATTCATTCGCGTGTCCACTAGTCACGGTTAATCAACGGGCCTGCTCCTCCAGCTCGCTCGTGCCCACCTCCCCCGCGCCCCCTCTCTCCGCCCGCGGCGCTCGCCCGCCTCCTCCGCCCTTGCCAATCGCCCCGACCGGCCGCCCAAACGCCTTCTCTCCGCCGCCGCCTCCGCCGCCGCCGCCTCCGCCTCCGCCACCTCCGCCGCCTCCGAACGCACGCGAGAAGGACTGCGCCCCGGCGGCCTAGCACCGACTCGGGATCGCCCTGTCTAAGTACTGGCTCACCTGTCGATGAGCAGGCCACTGCGGCCCCGATGCCTCGAGGCCGGCGCCGTGTGCCGGAGAGAGCCGCTTGTGGCCGGGGAGCTGGCCGAGAAGCTCGCCGGCAAAATGGTCGGGTCTGGCTGCCGACGGTCGCCGGATGATGGCGACGGACGGCGTCAGGTCGGAGCCGCCGCTGGCGCCGGTGCCGGGAGGAGGCGGCGATGGAGGCGGGCCGCCGGGGGAAGGGGCAGGTCCGGTGGCCGCGGCGGCGCGCGCTCTTGCGGGGACGAGGAGCCGCTCGACCTAGAGGTGAGGGAGGGAGGGTACGGAGGGTACAAGGTGGGTGCGTGGTGCGTGCGTGCGTGCGTGCGTGCGTGCGTGCGTGCGTGCGTACGTGCGTGCGTGCGTGCGTGCGTGCTGCGTGCGTGCTGCGTGCGTGGCGCGTGCTGCAAACGTCAGTGCTGTGCGTGGGTGTGCGTGCGTTCCGCGTGTGTGCGTGTGC